TATCGATATCGGTTATCGGCTACATGAGTTTTAAAATATCGGCATATCGGATATCGACCAAAATCCCAACATCGTGCATCCCTAATCTGGTTTTATAATACCGTAATGTTTTTACTCCATATCCTTCTGATGTTACTTTGCCAGCCAATCATAGTCTTTAACCTTGACCAGGGGTCTGCAACCTGCGGCTCCAGAGCCACATTTGGCTCTTTGGACTCCAATGGCTCCTAATAATGGCTAATAATAATAATGGCCCAACTAAGTAATGAATTATGACAAATACCTGTCTTAGAAGCTTTAGTGGTTTTTATAAAGAATATTTGAATTGAATTTTCACAACAGAGTGACGTGTAAAGAACAAAGGAATATTTTGTTGGTGCTATTTTTCTTTTAATAAACTCAGAAATTATGTTTTACAATTATTATTCAAAATGGCAACACATTTCCTATCAGATATTTTAACAAAAATGTTTGGTTTTGTTTGATTAAAGTCACAATATTTTGCACCTCTAAGCAACTCTTAATTAAGAAGTCTCAGGGGAAATGGCTCCTTAGATATGAAAGGTTTCTGACCTCTGACCTGGACCATTAATCCTAAGCAGAATTCATGTTTAAATGAGTTTAAGCGGCTCTATGTCAGCAGAGTCCATTCATCGGTTATTTACGACTCTGCCTTCTGTTTTCATTTGTTGAATGTAATAAATAGTTGATCCTATCGTTCTAATGAATCTTTCCCCTCTGGCGGCGCTCAGTGAGGAGCGCGGTTCCTGTGTCGGCTGAAACCAGGCCAATATGTGGAGTTATGGGAACCATTCGTTTGCCAGCAGGTCAGTTCAGCACGTTCAGGTCAAACTGTCTGTTTTATTAGATAAGGAATCTCTGTTTTACTTTTCCTCTCGGTCTAATTTCCAAATATCTGCAGGAATGTACCTGATAATCATCACAAAGAAGACGAAGGTGGGGGATCTACTGGGCCATGATGTTTGGAAAGCCCAGAGTTTCGACATCATTTCTTACAAAAAGACGGTTCTGCACCTGAACGAGGACCAGGTGGGTTTGCTTCTGTTTTCACATAAACAGATTCATAGAAAATGAGCTGCCTGTTAAACCAGCAAGCCTTCTGTCTTCTTCTGTCAAAATTAGTTTATGCACTTTGATACAGACTGGAAGGTAACATCAAGAGGTTTTAATCAGTATTTTCTCATATCTAAGGTACTTTCAGAAGTTTGATTTCTGAATATGAGCGAACTTTTACACTTCATGTTTGAGGCTGTGTAAGATCAATATAGCAGAAATAAACAGAAGCCCAGGGATGGTTGGCTGAAAAGAATTTAGTTTCTGTTCTTCACATGAATCCCTGTAGATGGCAGCAGAGCTCTTCACGTTTTTAATGCATCACTTCTTTTCAAACAGCTGCTTGGCTGGAGTAATCCCCTACTAGATTAAGACACTCTGTCTTATTTTTACATTTAAAGTTTTCTAATAGCTAAAATGTCTTTAATGATTCGATTAAGTTTCTTAAATATTAGTTACATTTTGTTAGCTAGTGTAGAAAATCTATTGAACTCCAGATGAGTTGCTTCACTTTGAGTCTCTCTGTTAAAGAGTGACATATTTTAGTCGTTTGTTCGTCTTTATGACTGTAGATCCCTGTTAATGAAAACCAGAGTTTTAGTAGAAACTTCTGTACAGACTGTAATACCAGGAGCTATAAGACGACCATAAGAGTGTCTGTCTATCTCATAGACGGTGAAAAGTTTTGAAACTACATTGAATAAAACACATTGGAGCTTCAGTCAGAATACTGACCTGGTGACTGATTTCCCATCATCATGCTAGAATCCTAAACAACAAAAGTAAACCAGTCTATTAGTTTATTTTTTAATGGAGGAGAGCATGATCTTTGCATGTTGGGGTGAAATGAGAAAAATAAAGGGAAATGACACATGAATTAGACCATCGTTTTAAAACTATTTTCACTTTTAATGCCTTAACGTCTTTAAATGATTAAAAAGCAAAAACCGTTGCCAGTCTAAATATCTCCGATCATTAGTTCTTTATGTGATGTCACTGACCTCTAGCTAAGGTGGGAAAAACCCAAAAACCATTCTTGTCTCAGAGTTGCATGTTGTTGCGTCCTCTGTTTCCTTTTGCTTCGTCGTTATCTGGGATTTTCCATGACATCTCATCTGCTAAATGTTCTATAAACTACCAAGGTTTCTGCCTTCTGGTTTAACCCAGAATATTTCCAGATGATTTGTGACGTTTTTCAGTGAAGTTTGTTTTCAGCGATGGATGATGTCAGAAGTTCAGTTCGATCTGAACGCCATTTTCACTCCATAAGCAAAGTTCTGATATTTGGTCATTTAATTTTTTTGAAAGTGATGTTTAATAGTCTTTTTTTTTTTTTCTTTGTCAAACAGCAGAAAACTAGTTATTGTTGAGTCCTTCCTCAGCTTTTTAAAGATAATTTTATTCAGAAATCTCTTTTTTCTCATTTCTTTTTAATTCCTGTTCCAGATGCAAGACAATAAAACCTTCCTGTCAATGATCAACAGCGTGCTTCAAACTGATGGCTTCTACTTTGCAACAGACTATGACCTCACTCACACTCTGCAGCGCCTGGCGAACACGAGCCCCGATTTCCACGACCTGAGTCTCCTGGAGAGGGTATGAGACACCAAGCAGCCTCCATTGGCTTTTCATTCAAAAATAACATGATTATTGCATAAGGTTTGGCAAATTTGTCCTACCTCCACAACAACCACCTAATCACATGCAGATACATGCTCACCTTTTACAGGACTTACAAAAAAGTTAAAAAACAATCCACTGGGCTTTGTTTCCAGGTTTGAAGACGTTTCTCTTCCATCCAGGAAGATTTATCAATTCAAAATGTCAGAAATAGCGTTTAGTTCCAGGTTTTATCCAGTAGCCCAACAAAGCCTGGTTTTAGTTTACAAAACATGCAAATAGGAACAGACGAACGGGTCCACCCCTTTGGAATGGGGGTCGTTTGGTTTCTTTGTTAGCCTGCAATGCCCCATACCTGTCTATGTCTCTGAAGGGGGGTCGTTAGAGGGAATTGGCTGAATAGGCGAGGTCTTCTTTTCCCCTGTAAAGGGGGTGGGGGCTGCAATGATAGCGGGAAGGAATCAACTCTATTGCTGTGTTGTAGGTTTTTGAAAGCTGAAACCTGAGCCCCCGACCCCCCCACCCCAGCCCTAAATGAATGCTCTATAACCACAATTCATTGGCCCTCGCCTAGCAACCTAAGAAGAATAAAACGGGGTAACGAGGGGCGATCAGCCTCTCACAACAATCTCCAGATCAGGAATTGTAAGGCCTGCAGAGAATCAAACATGGTTGACATTGAGTCATCGTAAGGTGGCATCAGAGCGCCAGGCCGCACAGTGTGAGAACAAACCTCATGAGCTGTGAACTGTTAAAACCTGCAGTTTCGTCGTACAGTTTGCGCTGTAGCTGCGTGCAACGATTGACAGCATTGCACGGTGCATGCCCGTCTTAACACACACTGATGTAAACCTCTTCCACTCAAGTTGCTTTTTTTATTATGATTTAAAATAAATCAAACACAACTTAACATTATGTTCGTTTTTGAAAAATCCTCACAAAAGTTATGCAGCACTGCAGCTGTTAGGCTGGTACTAATTTGCACTGGAATACTATAAACATATTTCTCTTCAGATTCTTTGAACCTGTTAAAAACCGTTCCTAGAGGTTTCTTAAACAAGTCAGACATGTTATATACACGTCAGAGAGAAAATATACCAGGGTGGGTTAACTCTGCAGAAAACTGGTTTGTGCTATGTAGCTCTAAGAAGAGGATTTCTATAGCGCCATTTCACAGCACATGTCACCTCCAGGCACTTTACAGAGACAACTCCACTAGATCTTACAGTCAGATTGGTTCTAAGTTTTCTGTCTAAGGAAAACCAACTGATTGCATCGACTCATTGACTTTTCAGCAATCCCT